AAGAAATGGTTACAACAAATCCAAGAAAATTTGCAGCATTGAGGTGAATGGAAACTATTACATAGTTCAATGATGAAGGACTCTCCTTAACTTTTCATGCTAAAATATGACATTTTTATACTATAGATATATACACTTTTACATTTTTATACTATAGATATATGCAATTTTATTTTGGCTGTGTTTGGTCAATATATTAGCTATCTTATAACTTATTTGATTGTCTTATAAACTTTCTGTATTCAAATAAATTTGGTTTGGTAAGACAATTTTTTTAAAAAGCTCGAAATTATCTCATAAGCTTCCTTAGATAACTTTTCAAATAACTCGTTGAAATTTTTATTTCAGCTAACTTATCAATTAATTTACCAAACACTTCAATACATAAACTAGTTTTTCAGCCATAAGTCATAAATTATAAACTATAAGCTCGAAATTCAATTAAAAGTTATAAACTAACTTATCAACTAGTTTACCGAAAATGGCCCTAATAATTTGATAGTTGACAACTCGGGCTAATATAGGAGATTTCATACTATAAATTTGCATTTCTGTTCAAGAACGTGATGGTTTACCGTATAGCTCATTAGATTGTCATGTTTATTCAAAGACAGTGATAATCCGTTTAACCGTTAGACTCTCTAATAACAAAATTTGTACTAATAGTGTAATCTTTTTTGGAGGGATGAAAGAGCTAGCTTTAATGACGATCACTCTCAAAGATATCTGATGTATTATTTAGTATTTACACAGAGAACAAATGGCAGAGTCAATCAATGAATAATTAAATAAGTATAGTAAAATAAAAATAATCAAAATTAGTAAATGGAAATGTAAATGCACCTGAAAATTTCTGTCAAGGGAGATGTAAATGCTGTATGGTTGGCTCATGAGGCAAAAAATTACTGCCATCACACTAGATTGCTTCATTTATGCACCTAACCAATAATAAATGGTAATTATTTCCTGCTACGTACCATCTTTGAATTAATATACACACCTACTTTTCTTGCAAAAAAAGAGTTCAATTTTATTGGAATTTAATTGGAGTTTATAATTAATGCAGTTTGCTTGAATATGCTTCCCTGTTTGATTTGGAGAGAAGCTGCTAATTTTGTTGCATTGCAATTTAATATGCTCTGGTTGATATACAGCTTAATAAAATTGCACAAGTGTAGTGCAGTGAAGAGTTTATTTTATTAATTATTTCCCTTATTTGTTTGTTTATTTTGCTTTTTAGCTCTTTATGGGACGATATCTTATTGGAAATAAAATGGTCCTATTAAATTAATTTTGGTGGAAATATTCATAAACTTAGTATGATATCAAACTTATTAATTCTGTATTAAATTGAAATATTTTGCCAAATTAAGATGCGCGGCTATGTTGTTAATTACTAAACAAGCATGATAAATTTAGTGTGCAAGTATTAATAATAGAATGCTCGTATATTATAAATGTATATATTAAGATATTTATATTTATTTTGCTAAAAATAAAATGAAAATTTTTATTTTAATTGTTATTATTTAAAATGACACTTGATTCCTGTTAGTCCAATATTATAATAAATTTTCTAATCCATATTATATAATAGGTTTGTTAGGATAAATTTGTTATTTAATAAATAATAATTTTATTATTTTCAATTATAATTGATGTATAATTTAACTTTATTTATAAATATTGATTTGACTATTTTTTATTTTATATAGGCAATATTAATGTCAAATTAAATAGCACCAAGAGATGAGTAATTTGATATGTTATATATAGAAATTTTGATAACAAATTAAAAAAAATATATGAAGTTTCAAAGTACTTTTATAATTTAAGTTATCTATATATTTTATAATTTTAAAATTTCTAATATGTATAAGTAAAAAATATTGATTTAATGTTGTAATCTCAAACATCATTAATTCAAAAATAAGATCACCAACTATAAACAATAGCACATACATTGCAGGGGATATAATTAATAACTACGACATAATCATGAATTCTTATACAGTGAGAAAGCAAGATACGTCTTAAAATTGCATTAATTGAAGATACTCTATCATTGAGTTAACTATTTAGATATATATATATATAAAAAAGGGTTTACAATATTGATTAAATTAATGATATGGGACCCACGCAATTTTGATATATTGCATGTATCAATCAATCATGCATTGATGAAACTTGGGAAATGTGGGCATTGCACATTTTATTTTATTCGGATATGCCAATGGAAGTATATTTNATTAGAGGAATTGAAAAGAATTATCTCGAAATAAATATTTGATTATTGATATGCACTTTTTTAAGTTTTTTTGCTCTCAACATATGAAAAATAGTTAAATAGACCGCAAGACTCGCTCGCTCTCAATTGGGTTGAGGTAACGACCCGACCCGGAAGTTTGATTTGAGTCGTACTCGGCTTTTGGACTGCTATTAAACCTGCACCTAATACATGAATATAATTCGAATAAGATTTTATTCTAAAACAAAAATTTATTTTTAATTTATTTTACCTATTCAAGGGAGTATACATCTCACACCACGATTTTACACCAAAAAAGAAATTTTAGAAAATGGCAGATTTATTCATTCCAAAATCAATATCATTTTATAACTACATGTTAGTTCTGAAATCGTTAATCCAACATTGAGCATATAAGTAAAATAATTATAATATTGTGAAAAAAATCTATATTTGTAGTATTTTGTTGAGTCAGAATAAATTCCGATCTTGATCATATCTCAGTAGGACGGTTTTTCAAAATTGTATTTAATCAGATGTTGATATCCCGAATGATATGAAAACTGAAAGTTTAGTACTTTAAGCACATGTTGAACAAATATACAAGCATGTAAAAGTACATTAATGAACAAAATGAACTCAAAATTGAAATCAAATTAGTTCAAGTTAACTCATGCAAAACACGAAAAACACAAGAATAATGCATCAAACAACCTACAAGGCCAAATAGAGTATTTTAAATATTTTAGTAATGGTTTTTAATTATTCAATATGAATATTTTTATTTAAACCGATAGCTTTACATAATTTTTGCAATTTTATTCTCTTCAAAATCACTCTAAATCATCTATTTACAGGTTATTTTCCTAATGATGTTTTTTATTTCGTATTTTCATCATCTAATATTTTTTTATACTATAATTTGAAAAAAAACAATCTAAAAGCACAAATAATTAGAAAAGATCCAACTAAAAATAATACTTATTCCTAAACGAATAGAGCAGTATACTAAAGGGGGACAGGCTCATCTTATGTCAGTCTTAAGAAATTTCATTTGTAGCATGTTATTTTATTTTTTATTTTGCCTCACGAATTACAGAATTAAAGCTGCATAAAGTAAATTAAACTCTTTTCATTTCAGATGGACACATTGAACAAATTCAATCTTTTCGGGACATCTTTTTTGGGGTCAAATAAATAACCATTAAGGAGACATTAAATTTAATTCACTCCATTGTGCTGCCTCTCCTGATTGGCTGAAGAAAACATTGAAAAAACAGAGTTATGAAGTTAAAAAATAACAAAAAGTCCAAATATGAAAGAGAAGTCAGCAAATTATTAAAGTCGCCAAACGACTTTAATTATGAAGTTAAAAAATAACAAAAAGTCCAAATATTAAATGTTGGATATATTTATTAAAGTCGCCAAACGACTAGCATGCGTATTTGTTGTGCGTGGTCCAACTGCAAATTCAATATTCAATTTTTAATTATATCAAATCTAAGATAAAGATGATACATAAATTCAATTAAGTTTGTGTCTCAATTGACTATACATATCTATCGTTTGAAAAAAAAAAAAAAAAAAAAAAATTGACTATAAATATAAATACTACCTACATAAGATAAGAACTGAAAATACGGTTCATTATAAATTTATAATGCAGGGGAAATAAAACAATGCAATAAAAAGTTATACTTCATTGAAATTATTGAGTTGTTGGAGCTTCATTTGATTGACTTTCATTAATGCACCTTTCACCACATTCATGAATTTCGTGATTCATGATGATAATATTTTGATCTGGCATTTGCTGAATCAAAATTGTTTAATTAGTATACAAGATTAAATTCTAAAAAAAAGGTGTGTAAATTTTATAAAATATTTATACTCTATTTACTGTTATATTTATTTATATATTTTAAATTGATTACATAAATAAATAATAGTAACGTGCATTAAATATTTTTTATTACATAAAATAAAAATAAAAGGAAGACGTACAACTTCTATAACTTTTATAAATAATAATGACATTATATGACAAAAAAGTTTATAAGAAAAAAATAATTAAGTATTAAATGGTGAATAAGAATAAGTAAAACTGCTATTTTCTTATATCAAGGAATAAATATATATACTAAAATAAAATTTATATTCGCATAAATGTGTTAGTGAGATAATATATTAATTATTTTACAAGTTAGCCCTAACATACTCATATTTAATGTTTTGGCTAAAAACGCAACGCTGATTAAAAATGGTGGAAAATATTGTTTTTTAGACTTAACGGTGATTAAAAGAGGTAGAAAATAGATGATAACTTTATTGCTTCTTAGACTTAAACGCATAGCCTATTAAAATAACTCATTTAATATCTATATGTCGTGCATCGCACAGGGTATGCACTAGTTACAAATACAACATAGCTTAAAAATGTTGTTTAGCATAAAAAACACATGCAGTTACTACTTGTGGTTTTCAATTGGTCTTCTATTAGACAACATATATATATAAATTTATATTAGACAAAATATATATAAATATATATATATATATATTAATAAATTTACATA